TTGAGAAATTGCATTTTAAATGGCGTTTTTCTGACTATGCTTTGTATCATATGAATAAGTAGGTAGCATGTGCCATGTTCAACACAACAAAAAAACAAAGGAAAAAAGAACTAAAAGAAAGGAATATTTGGAGAATGATACTGTGAGGTGCCATGTGCTTTGCTAACTCAACATAAATAATTAATTTGCGTCACATATTTTTGGAGTTCCTTGGTGTTTCAGTTAAGGGTCCACTTCTAAAAGTAGTAAAAAAATCAGCTTACAAACAAAGTTAAAAGTACATAGCCCATGCTATGCGCGTTATCAATTCCATTATAATTTTTAATATCATATTTTAAAATAAAATAAAAATATTTCAAAGGTAAAAATTTGTAATAAGTACCAAAAAATGTTAAAATACAATAATGTATTGAATTTTTTACTCACACATATGGACAGTGTTGTATGTCCGTTATTCTTTTGGATCCAAGATTTTACAAGTCTACCATCTTTGACCACCACGTTCATGACTCTAAAAAGAAACGAATTATGGGTCATAAATTGTAATTCTTTAATCAAATATGCTATTTTTGAAGCTCCAAATTCCTGGATTTGAAAATAGGATTTTCAATTGATTGGGATGTGTTTCAGTTTTTGGATCCTAAAGCTCTTAAAATTCAAGACAAAGGTATGAGTAAGCTGATGCCTAAGCACCTTTTTTTAATATAATTATGTATTGTATATTTACTAATAATGCAAATTAACAAATAAAATTTAATTTAAAAAATTATTTTAACAAAAAAAAAAAAAAGATATTTCATTTACGGAAAGTAAAGGTTTCCATACTTCCCTTACAAAATAGAAGATATATAATTCCCTTCCCATCTAGCTGTTCAATTTAGATCAAGTGAGTCACTGACCGTTTGATCTAGATTTGACTTCTCAGAGTATTTTATTTTTATTTTTTTCTAGAAATTGTATGAATATGAAATTTGGTACGTTCCATCTTCTCAATGAGACATACCTAAAAAAATATTAAAATATATTTTTATAAAATATAATGATACCCCTTGAAACTTTATTATATTATATTGATAAGCGCAACAATTGACACTCATAACAGTCAATTTTGTTGAGTACAATAGTATAAAAGTGTCCAAATTTTGCTAAGTACCAAAATACCGCTTGAAAAGTACAGTTGATATTCATAACAAGAACAATAATACAAGTTTCAAGGAATTGAAACGCAAAGGAAAGCTAGTGTTAGCCCATGAGTTTACGCCTGGGCTGCATATGAGTTTGTTGTTGTGAAACACCACCATTTGCGACTGCTTGTTAGCTTTCTTTGAAGAAAAAAAAAAATTAATAAGGAATTGAAAGACAAACTAATGTGATCTTGTCGAGGTATATATTTTTGGAAAAATATCCTATTATCCCATATTTTTAACTTTTATATTTCATTAGACTCAAGAATTGAAAATATTACTTGTAAGCAAAAAGACTCCATCTTTTCTATCTTTCAACCCCCTAAACCCTTTTGACCATGTATTGGTGACCTCAACAACTTATAAAATGACTCTATCTCTCTCTCTCTCTAAAACTTCATATCTCTCTCATATCATCATCTCTCTCTCAAAACTCCATCTATCTCTAAAACCCAAACTCCATCTCTCACGCTTACATCATCTTCTCTCTCTCTAAACTCCATCTCTCTCCCAAAAACTCAAATTCCATCTCTTTCTCTCTCTAAAACTCCATCTCTCTCTAAAACCTAAACTCCATCTCTCTCTCACACATAAGAAGGTGTGCTCGTGTTCGAGCTCAAGCTAAACCTCTTGGCTAGTAAACTCACATAGAAACGAAGAGAGAGAGAAATGGAGTTTTAGAGAGAGAGATAGAGTTTGAATAGGGTGTCAATTTAGTGTTTGTTTGGGTCAAAATTTTATGGTCCAGGGGGTTGTAAGATAGAAAATATAGAGACATTTTGCTTACAAGTAATATTTTCAATTTTTGAGTCTCGTAAGATATTGAAGTTAAAAATAGGGAATAAAGAGATATTTTCCCTATATTTTTTTATTTTTCTTCTTTTTCACCTATTTTCTTTGAACAATCATAGCCGCTCAATTCAAATCAAACGATTAAGAGGTCAAGGTCACATATAATTTTTATGTTGTTGGGGTCACATAGAAACATTTTCAAGCTCCACCATTTTTCATCTGCATTTGTTTTACTTCTTTACACCTCCTTCTTAGTACTGTAGTTTTACCAAAACAAATACCCTAAATTTAATTTCTTGGTTGTCGGAAATGGTGATATCAAAAATCACTACCATAAGAAAATATCATATTATATGGGATTGATATTGATTTTAATATTGATCATTTCTCTAAATTGGTATAGTCATTGAAGTCCAATTAGATTAGGACTCTTGGTTATATCTAAAATTTGAGATATATATGAGATCTATGGGATTCTCATATGATATACAATGAGATGAGAATTTTTGTGCTCTATTTGGGTCACCATTTAGAAAAAGTGGCTTCTTCTAGAGAGAGAGGTGGGGGCCCTCATAGGAGATAAAGCATCAACATAGAGAGAAATGAGCTCTTTATAGAGAGAAACACTATGATGTTAGAGAGAAATGAGCTCTCTATAGAGAGAAACACTATGATGTTAGAGAGAAATGAGCTCCCTATAGAGAGAAACACTTTGATGTTAGAGAGAAATGAGCTCTCTATAGAGAGAAACACTATGATGTTAGAGTGATTGGTTTATTTTTGTAAAGAAGTTATTTCCATAAAGATTTTGGGTGGTTTCCTCTTTTAGTAAGAGAAAATCATAGTTGCTCTTATATTCTTTTCTTGGACAGTGGTTTAGTTATGGACTAAAAATGAGATATCGGCTGATGAGGTCGATCAGGTAATTCTAAAAAGGTTGTTTGATTGGGTTTTGTCGAAGGTTAAAAAATTCACTCTATATCCCAAAAATCATTATGTAACTCTCATCAGTATACTAGATTTTAATTTGTCATGCCCATAGATATTGCCTATAGAGTAAGCCACATAAAGTATTTATGTTCTTGCGGTACGTGTATATCCTTTATTTCTCATATTATAGTTTGTACTCTCACTTATTTTATTTCTAGCAGATTGAGTACATGATTTTAATAGGATCCAAAAGTTTTGGGTTTCATATTTCTGCATCTAAGAGGGTTCTTAAATCCTAACATTAGTAACCACATAAATGTTCCTTTCTTAAAGTGTTCCTCTTTGAGCTGATATTTTATAGCAAACAAATAAAACAAAAACTTATTGTACTTTATGTTGCTCTTTCTTGTGATGATTTATGGTAAACATACTTTGTGCTTAAAGAACCCATCAAAGTATAAGAAAGATTGAGCACTAACCATAATTGTGGGGCTTTTCAGTCCTAGCCTTAAAAAACTCGAATTGATCGAAGAAGATATATCTGAAGCCATCTAATTTGGAGGCGAGACCAATTAGAAGTTCCTCTAGAGCAACATTGTGAGATAAACAAAGATAACTAGCTTCATCCAAACACTCCCCATTATTAAGCATCCTCATGCCAGCCATACAGCCCAAGTTCTTGAGCCCTGAAAGTAAAAACTTTCTTGCACCATGGCTATCTAGTGCCTGCAATAAATTCAATAATGAGAGAAAGAGAGATTGTATTTGCCGTGGAAATGTATGCAATGAGCAGTACATCACACCAGCTATCAAATGTCAATCAGGAATGGCTTGGGTATGTCGTTCCTGCGCTCAAAGTCCATCAGAAAATTTGATAGCACCCTAGCCATCTACAATTGGTATCAAACAGTTTGAATAGTGTTCATGAAATCCTTCATTGCGCTCAACGTATATACCAAATTAGTATGCCTACCACCTTAATGCATTTTTTCCGTTTTCTAAACTTTGTTATCCACACAATAACTAGGAGTAACACTGTCCAAGATGTAGCTAGATGTATAATGCCTCCCTTTTCTTGTTAACTTCCACAAAAGAAGAAAGGACAGTGAGGACAAATTGCCGATTACATATTAGCCATTGGATGTGATTTTGAGTGTATCCAGTGTGGGAAAAAGCGAACTGAAATAGTTAATCGGACATGGGGCCCAAAGCGGTTCACCCGGCCTAACCGATAAACTAGCCGGGTTCAATCGGCCTAACCGGGCAAGTCTCGGGAGGTCAAAAAAAATAAAATACATACAAAAAAATTTAATAAAATATAATATATTTAAAACATGTTAAACAAATCACATCCAAATGAAATTGAAAATCAATGAAAAAATGGATTTTAAATAATCGATTTGTACCTAGAGATATTTTTGAAATTTTTCAAACAAGATGGGAAATTGTAAAAATAAGTATTAATGGCCAAAAAAATTTTCAATCTTTGCCAAAATGATGAAAAACATTAAAAAATACATTACACATAAAGTCCCTAATTTATTGGGATTTTATATACTTTTTTTGAAATTATTTTAAAATACCCAACCTGTTCACCAAAACCAACCGAAACCGGAACCACAAATAGCCGGTTCTGATTAACCGGGCCCCGATTTTTCCTACACTGGGTGTATCACAAAGCTCGATAAATTTTGTTTTGAACTTAGTGTCGGTTCAATGGCACACCCCTGGTCACTCAATTTTACATCTAATAGTCAATAATGACTTTAACCTCCTTATATTAGTATTAAATGATCTTGTGATATACTTTGCCTATTAGCCTATTAGCATAGAAAAGGAACAAAAGAGGAAGGAAGCTGATAACTCACTTGAATATGTAAGGATAAGTTGCCGATTACAATTTCCACTAATCCATCTTTGGGTTGTGACCTTTGGGGTTCATAATGGTTGAAAAGTGCCTTATAATGATTTAATCCAAAGCTGATGTAATAAACAGCTTGTAAGAATGCTTGTTGGGCCTTCGAGTGCCCTAATTTCGTCCTGAACTCATTTTTGAGCTCAATGAATTGCTCCACTTGCATTGCCATGTCCACAACCTGAAACTTCTTGAACTTCTCATTTCGAATTTGTTCCAGCTTTCTATATTTTAACCAAACATTTTTTGTTGAACCCGGTGTTTAAAAAACAACTAACACAGCTCAGGACTCTTTTGAGTTGGTCCTGATTAGGATGCTGGTGAGTCTGAAGAAAAACCTCAGATTTCCCCGGCTTTGCCCTAAACCCTACTTTTTAATGTCACAATATCACCGGTTCAAATTGCGACTAGCCCGACTCGAGCTGGGTGACTCAAGCCTGGGACCCATGTATGTCTAAGACCATGTCTATGGTTTTAAACACCAGTTGAACTTTCGGGCACTAATTCAAATTCAATCAACTTATAATGTATGTAATTAATGTTGTAAAACATTCTAGTGCCCAAAGTATATGAAATCAATCATGCATCTTAAAATGGTGAAAATAACAAATATCATCATCATCATCATCATCAAAGTTGTTTTCAACTATCGGGGTCAGCTATTAGTTTGTCATTCTACTCTATTAAAGGTCATACCCTCAGTAAAAATAACAAATAACAAACTACTTAATATAGTTAGACCCTCGGTATCTTGAGAATGAAATGCCAGTAATTGAGATAAATGAAGGTTACCTTCCCTTTGTTTCAGAGAGAACTCCTGCTCCTCCGGAGGCAAAGTTGGGTCCATAGATGATACTCTAACTAACTACACAAGATGATACTCTAACTAACTACACAAGATGGGAACAAAGAAAAATATGGATAATATTCTTGATAATGAAAAAACTAAATAAAAGTATGGTCCACATTCGCCATATATGTTTTCTTAGTAGGAATGATGCCCTAATGTTAAGGACATCTTTGCTTTCCCTTTCCTCTCAAGACCAAGACCCCCAGGTGAAACCTTCTTATTGAAGAATTCACTAAGAGGGAGAGGCCTCACAGTAGGGTCCTCCCCTAACCATAGTGCGTGGGCTGCTTGCCTATTTATGCCTTCTGTGGAATGGAATGAGTCGAAAAACACATGACCGGCCGGGTTCTCGCAAAGCTCGTATCCCGAGGATCCAGACTTTCCTCCGCATGTGTACAACCCTCGAAAGGGTCCGGATCCGCAACATGCTTGGTGTCCATCAATAAATCCTGTTGAAAATAAGTTCATAAATTTAGTTATCTCCCTCTCCTATTGACAGCTAAAATATTATAGATTCTCAAGGGAGCATATCCTGCATTCACTCTCTTGGGTAAAACACTCTTAGTAATATTGCTAGGAACCCAAATTTTGGGGATCTAACCTTCTCAACTCGGCAACCAACCTCAAACAAGAAAGTTTGAAGATTGAACAGAAACCATCCAATTGTTGGGAAAATCAAATTCTTTTTTTTTTACTAAGTTCATGAGTTTAATAACTCAAGAATCCAAATATTGTCTTGTGAGAACATTGACATTGTGATTTTACAGTGGATCCCAACCAAAATTTGAGATTGAAAATCATCCTAACTCTTTTTCTTCAGGGAGTGTTTGAATAGTGTGCTCCAGCAACACTCACTCTATTTGAGCATAAAGAGGCAGAACATACTAAATCGCCAAAAAAAAATAAAGAAAAAAATATTGACATTATTTCTCCTCCATTTTGGCTTCATTTCCCTTCATCTCCATTTGGCCAGGTATTAATTTTACAGTTTTTCATGTATACAACCGAATATAACTACCAATATAATCCTTAAAACTACCTTATCAGACACATTGAAACAAATAAAAATTGTTTTGAACAAAGCAAATCAAGCTTACCTACCAAAAATTAGGTAAAGTATACAAATAAGATTCTTTGTCATTGATACTAAAGGTCATAATCACCCTTGTACAAGGAGGTAGGGGTATGTCATTAAAGGCATCCATACTTCAAATAAATGTTTCTCAGACTCATTGAAATAAATGACATCCCCCTGACCCCCCAATTTCAAATATGACAGCTAAAAGATGATTGTGACCTTCTACTAGCAAAAATAAATATCCAACAAATAAAAATAATAACTAGAGAGGATTGATTTTTACCATATTTGTGGGGTTCTTCAATTCTGGTCCTCAAAAACTTGAAGTAGTCGAAGAAAATGTACTTAAATCCTGCTAATTTGGATTCCAGACTTATTAACAGGTTTTCTGCTGCAGCATTATGAGATGCACTAAGATAAGTGGCCTCATGCAAACACTCCCCTTTTCCATGCGCCCTCATATGAGGAGTGCAGCCTAAATCCTTCAATCCCACATTTAAAAATTTTCTTGCACCATTATTGTACAGACCCTGCCAAAAAATAAATAGAACTAAAAAATATGTGTGTGAGAGAGAGAGAGAGAAAGAATTGTTAATTGCATTGATGGTTACATGTTCCAACTTCTATAAAGGCCTTTATGCCTTCTTTAATAGTTGAACCTAATGCACTCATGGTTAGGAATACTTTATTTAAGATGCACTTCTATTGAAAAAGACTATTTTTTAGGAAAGATTTCAATAGGCATGAACCTCCAAATATCCTAAAAACTCATTTTTTTGACAAATAAAAATAATTAATGTCAGAAGAAATATCCTAAAAACTCATTTTCTAAAGAAAATAACAAAAAGTTTTATAAAGATTATTCAGAAAAGCTTTTGATATAACTTGAACCTCTTTTGCCTCTCTTGGCTCACTTATCCCCCTCTCTCTCTCTCCAATTATTATAGAAGTAGTTGTTCAGCTTAGCTATTTTAACCCTGATCAATTTTAGTTTGTGAAATAAGTTTTCAATATTAGACATGAGAAGCTGGACCTAGTATTCGTAATACTTCAATTGGGATCTGAGGTTTCCCGTGTTGTAATAAAACTTTTTGGTGAAATTCTCCTAATATAATCACTTGAAAACAAGCACAAAATATATCGTTATTTATTTAAAGTCTGATATTTGAATCGAAACCGAGAGAAACTCCGCCCTTTTATGCTTTTTTTTTTTTACCATTTTTTTTTTTCCATTTTCTATTCCAGTTTGGAATCAAAACTGAATTAACATCCACGCTGCTCTCTGGTTTATTACCATTAGGCCAATTGCGAATAAAGAGTGCAACTAAACAAAGGGTAAAATAGGTAGTGTTCATTTTATTGCTATAGGCACCCTCTACATGGGTGGGATTGTAGCTAGAGGCTATTGTTTATATCACATCGATGTTCGGGTATACGGATTTTATTAACAACTTTGTCTGTTAGATGTAAAATTGGGTAGTTGAGGGTATCACGTTGAACTAGCTTAAACTCTATTTTTGAATTATGTGATACAATCAAGCATTCAGATTTCACATCTTATAGTTATAGATGATAGAAATTATTTCATAATGTACAATCAAAGCCAATTTTTTCCTTAAAACTTTTGAAATCAAACACGAGTACCAAGAAGTTGTCTCTAGTTTCACACTTAAAAGTGTTGATCAAAGATGAATGTTATCCATTAAATAAAAGAAATAACAGTATTACAAGATGAAGAAGGAAAACTCACTTGAATATGTGAAGACAATTTGCCTATAACAAATTTGACAAATTCATCTTTGTTTTGTGATATTTGGCCTTCATAATCATTGAAAAGCACCTTATAATCATTTAGCCCAATGCTAATACAATAAACAGCTTGTGAGAATTCTTGGTGAGCCTTAAAGTGCCCAAATTTTCTCTTAAACTCATATTTAAGTTCACTGAGTTGCGCCACTTGCATGCCCATGTCCACAACCTGAAACATTTCTAAAATTTCAAATTTTCAGAAATAACATTGCATTTACTTATGTTTTTAACAAATGAAATATGGATTGTATACAATGAGACCATTTGCTTTTGATACAAGGAAGTCACTATCACTTATAACCGTTCGATGTGAAATCTAATAGCATAGGTGTGTTCCAAAGTTCAAGAAAATTTCTTTTGAAGTTTGAGCTTGGTCATTAGAATAAATGTCGCCATCCAATTTCACATCCAACGGTCAAGATTGATTGTGATACTTTGTACCAAAAATAAATTGTCTCATAGTATACTTTTCCAATGAAATATTGTTTTTTTTTCAAAAGGTGCAAAAGATTATATTCTATAAAACCTATTTTTAGGATCCTAAATTTCGGGGATGTAACTGCATCAATTTAGCAACCAA